AAAGGGAGGGGATGGGGAAAACCAGCCCATGGGGTGGGTATGGGTAACTACAGCCCATAGGATGGGTATGGGGTAACTACAGCCCATAGGATGGGTTTATGAGGTAACTACAGCCATAGGATGGGTATGGGTAACTACAGCCCTAGGATGGGTATGAGGAACTACAGCCCATGGATGGTGTATGAGGAACTACAGCCCATAGGAGGGGTATTGGGTAACTACAGCCCATAGGATGGTAATGGGACAACTACAGCCCATAGGTTTGGGTATGGGGTAACTACAGCCCATAGGATGGTATGGGGTAACTACAGCCCATAGGAATGGGTATGGGGTAACTACACCCATACAATGGTATGAGGTAACTACAGCCATAGGATGGGTAGAGGTAACTAAAAGCCCATAGACGGGAAAAAGAGGAACTACAGCCCCATAGGAATGGGATGAGGTAATTACAGCCCATAAGATGGGTATGGGTAACTACAGCCCATAGGATGGGTATAAGGTAACTACAGCCCATAGGTTTGGGAAATGAGGTAAACTACGGGCCCATAGGAGGGTATGAGGTAAACTAAAGCCCATAAGATGGGTATGGGTAACTACAGCCCATAGGATGGGTATAAGGTAATTTACAGCCCAAAGGATGGGTATGGGGTAACTACAGCCCATAGGATGGGTAATGGGGTAACTACAGCCCCATGGGATGGTATGAGGTAACTACAGTCCATAGGATGGGTATGAGGTAACTACAGCCCATAGGATGGGTATGAGGTAACAACAGCCCATAGGATGTTAGGGGTAACTACAGCCCATAGGATTGGGTATGGGGTAACTACAGCCCATAGGATGGGTATGAGGTAAATCCAGCCCATAGGATGGGTATGTAGGTAACTACAGCCCATAGGAATGGGTATGAGGACACTACACCCCAAATAGGATGGGTATGAGGAAAACTACAGCCCATAGGATGGTATGAGGTAACTACAGCCCAAGGAGGGTATGAGGTAACTACAGCCCATGGGATGGGTATGAGGAACTACAGCCCATGGGAGGGGTATGAGGTAACTACAGCCCATAGGATGGGAAATGAGGTAACTACAGCCCATAGGATGGGTATGAGGGTAACTACAGCCCATAGGATGGTATGAGGTAATACACCCATAGGATGGGTATGAGGAAACCTAAAAGCCCATAGGATGGGTAAGAGGTAACTACAGCCCATAGGATGGGTATGAGGTAACTATAGCCCATGGGATGGGTATGAGGTAACTAAAAGCCCATAGGATGGTATGAGGTAACTACACCCCAGGGGAAATGGGTATGAGGTAACTACAGCCCATAGGATGGGTATGAGGTAACTACAGCCCATAGGATGGGTATGAGGTAACTACAGCCCATAGGATGGGTATGAGGTAACTACAGCCCATAGGATGGGTATGAGGTAACTACAGCCCATAGGATGGGTATGGGTAACTACAGCCCATAGGATGGGTATGAGGTAACTACAGCCCATAGGAGGGGTTTATGGGGGTTTAAACTACACACCCAATGGGTTTGGGTATGGGGTTACTACAGCCCATGGGATGGGTACAGGGCACATAATAAAGTTAAGTTCTGACGTGGACAGTCAAGTTTAAGGAGAGGAACCTAGTTGCTGTATGCTAGGCTACTTCGCCATAACTTGAACCTAGCTGCTGTATGCTAGGCTACTTCGCCATACTGAACCTAGCTGCGGGTATGCTAGGCTACTTCGCCATAACTTGAACCTAGCTGTTGCGGGGTGTATCAGGCTACACGCCATAACTTGAACCTAGCTGCTGTATGCTAGGCTACTTCCCCAAATAACTTGAACCTAGGTGCTGTATGCTAGGCTACTTCGCCATAACTTGAACCTAGCTGCTGTATGCTAGGCTACTTCGCCATAACTTGAACCTAGCTGCTGTATGCTAGGCTACTTCGCCATTCTTGAACCTAGCTGCTGTATGCTAGGCTACTCGCCATATCTTGAACCTAGCTGCTGTATGCTAGGCTACTTCGCCATAACTTGAACCTAGCTGCTGTATGCTAGGCTACTTCGCCATAACTTGAACCTAGCTGCTGTATGCTAGGCTACTTCGCCATAACTTGAACCTAGCTGCTGTTATGCTAGGCTATTTCCCGCCATAACTTGAACCTAGCTGCTGTATGCTAGGCTACTTCGCCATAACTTGAACCTAGCGCTGTGATGCTAGGCTACTTCGCCAAAATTGAACCTAGCTGCTGAAGCTAGGCTACTTCGCCTAACTTAACCATGCTTAAGGGGTCCTTCGCCATAACTTAAACCCTATGTTTGTATGCTGGGTTTAACTTCCCCATAACTGAACCTAGTGCTGTTTAGGCTACCGCCATAACTTGAACCTAGTGTTATGCAGGCACTTGCCAAACTTGAACCTGCTGCTGATGCTAGTACTTCCCCCCAAACACTTCCAGCTGCTGTATGCAGGCATTGCCAAACTTGAACCAGCTGCTGTATGCTACTACTTCGCCATATCTTGAACCAGGCTGTACTAGGCTCTTCGCCATAACTTAACCTAGCTGCTGTAGTAGGTACTTCCCCATAACTTGAACCTAGCTGCTGTATGCTGGGCTACTCCCCTAACTTGAACCTGCTCTGTATCAGGCTACTTCGCCATTCTTAAACCCTTTGGCTGGGCAGGCTACTTCGCCAATTTTTAAACCTAGCTGTTTTATGTAACTTTTTCCACTGGGGTCCTTGTACTTATTTCCACTGGGTCCTGTACTTCATTCCACTGGGGTCTTTGTACTTATTCCACTGGGGTCTTTGGTACTTTAATTCCACTGGGGGTCTTTGTTACTTATTTCCACTGGGTCCTTTAACATATTTCCACTGGGGTCCTTTGTACTTCAATTTCCACTGGGGACTTTGTACATATTTTTCCACTGGGGTCTTTGTACTTAAATCCACTGGGGTCTATGTACTTATTTCCACTATGGTCGTTTGTACTTATTTCCACTGGGGTCTTTGTACTTATTTCCACTGGGGTCTTTGTACTTATTTCCACTGGGGTCTTTGTACTTATTTTCCACTGGGGTCTATGGAACTATTTTCCACTGGGGTCTTTTGTACTTAATTTCCACTTGGGTTTTGTACTTATTTCCACTGGGGTCTGTGTACTTATTTCGCGACTGGGGTCCTTCGTACTTTTTTCCAACTGGGTCCTGGTAACTTTTTTCCACTGGGGGTCTGTAAATCTAAAGTGATTAAAGTATCTCTACCTAAAATAATGAATAATTAAAGTTTACCACATTCTATTAACTTGTCTAGTTTAAAGTAGTCTGTAAACACTAGCCCCTCAGGGAAGGTTCCTTGAAGTTGGTGAGTTGGCCTCTTGATTTAGGGAATAGGATCTGTGCTCCAGTTCCCCGAATTTCGCCTGAATGCCTTCCACATTCCCCCCCCTCCCCAGGCGCTGTATAATCCTACGGGTTTAGCGCTTCCCCTTGATTATAATAATACTAATGTAAACACTAGGATTTAGTCTTCCTGAACGTTGTGTAGCTATAAAAATCGTGGGATAAATACATGAGTATATGGGGAGTGGGTGTGAGTTGGACCTGATCAGCTTGTGCCTAACGGTTCGGTTGCCGTGTTCCCTCCCTTGAGTCAATGTGTAAGACCTGACCAGACTGGGTTTGGTGCATTGGCTTAAAGCCGTGGGGTTAAAGGTACTTGGATCCGCCCTTCCATGGGCCGGTAGGCCTCTTCTGCAGTGTTACCATCGTTCTCTGATTCTCTTGAGTTCTTAAATGCCACAGCTATCTTCGTGGCTTTCCCCTTTGTACCTAACAACAATTTTTAAAATAAAATCACACAGTAACCTTGCACATAATAAAATTGGTTTTATCTTATTTAATTACATAGAAATGATGTCGACCATGACGTCACAATTACTCATTTTTTACATTGTAAGTGAAGTTACTGAGGTGTAAGGTGGAGGTCCTCAGTACCTACATTGAACTCTAGGGAGGTATCAGTTTTGTAAGTTTATTCAGGTATCTACATATTACATAGATTATCTACATAGCAGCGTATGATGTAGAGAACTTGGAAATCCCCCTCCCAAAAAAAAAACCCCACTAGACAAAGGGCCCATAGAGTCCTTTACCTGTTTTTTCTTTTTCTGGTGAAATACATATTTAATCCTTTAATATATATGACCTGAGTGGTTTTGCCAAGATAATTGTCACTTTAGGTGAATATTGGGGCATGTGGCTAAGTAAAGATAAAATCAGAAATATGTTATGGAACGATAATTTTTCTGAGGTTATAGGAAGGAAGCTAAAGGAAGGATATTGACCTTTTATTAGATATAAACGCAATAATTTTTTTTAACACTAATATTTTTTAATTTTTGCGCCGTTTGTATTAAAGCAAGTGTTTATTTGTTAAGCACATGCTGAAAAAATTTAGATTTAGTTGTTATGAGAACCAGTTTATTTTTTATTTAATCGTATTTATTATGCACCAGATACCTATGGTGTGGTGTCCAGAAGACTTAAAGTACACACATAAAGATTTGTTTGGGTCGCAGGAACTGTGCCTCAACAATAACAGACACACCTAATGGGGTCCGAACTGTGCCTCAACAATTACAGAATCATATAAATGGGTCCCGAACAGGATCACATAAGTTTTCATAGCTTGACATGTACAGCCACATAGAATATTCCATGAATCAGGGCAACCATATACCTCACATACATATTTTATAACTTGTGAATACGTAATAAAAATTTAATAATAAGTGATAAGATTGTTTAGTCGTTTAATATGGATCATATTACATAGGTATACAGATAAAAATAAATGATATAATCTTTATATCTACAAAGTACATGATACAACTTTTACAGGCCATAGTTGACATCAGCAATATACTTATAGAAATTTGCTGGTTGTGCAGAAGCATTCGGTCAACTTAGATTAATTTAGTCCCCCAGGATAGTGGACCCACGCCAATCAGCTAACACACCTGTACCTATTTACTGCTAGTTAATAGGACAGCAGTGTCTTAAGGAAACAAAGCCCCAAGTGTATCCACCCGAACCGGGAATGAAACACAGAACACTTAGTGTGTGAGCCTGAGACACTACCAAACCGACCTGTGGATTCCTTTTACTCTAATTTATGGGCTTTAAAGATAAAAAAGATAAGATTTCGTTCGGATTTTTTAAAACCCCGGAGGTTAACCACCCAGGATAAACCCAAGAAGAGTCAGTGCGTCATCGAGGACTGTCCTAACTTATTTCCATTGGGGTCCTTAAATCCTGTCCCCCAGGATGCGACCCACACCAGTCGTACTAACACCCAGGTACCTATTTGCTGCAAGTGAATAGGACGCAGGTGTAAAGGAACCGTTTCGATAATGATGTTTTCCACCCACGCCGGGAATTCGAACCCGGGCCCTCCGTGTGTTGGAAGCGGAGCCTCCAGCCACCAGGCCACCGTGCCACCTGAATTATATATGTTTTTCATCATTGATAACTATTTTAATTTGTTATTAAACTTTGGCTAAGAGATTTTGATCATATTTTTAGCCACATTAAATGATTGAAAGTAAATTTAGTTTTTTTGGTGGCCGGTGTGTTCTAAAAAATGAAGTTTTTATGTATTTGTTAATCTTTCCAATATGTGCATCTTATATGAAAAAAAAAAAATCCTTAGAAGGGGTTTCTTGAGGCTGGTAAAAGAGCTCTTGCTCCAAGGAACTGGTTTGTTAGTTAAATTAATCCCTATTAAAAAATAAAAAAAATACACAAAAGAAAGCACCCCCATACCCATCTTTGTGGCATTAGACAAAAGATTACAGATGCACATAATGTGCCCAGGAACTGACTGCAAAGTTTTAATAATTTATGGAAACAAAAATTCTTTTAAATACGACAAAAACAATCATTGATTTTTATGTTTTTGAGCACCAAACGTGTATTTGCAGTTGCTAGACCTTGTCCAGTAAAATTAATTTAGAGTATGAAGTGGATTACAGCCTAAATGGGCTCTTGTGGTAGTCAGTGGGCCTTAACTAAAAGTATAAAAAGTTTTCAAAGCAATTACTGTTCTTCAGAAGTTGGAATAATGATAGCATAGAAATATGGCAGTGGATGCAAACAATAAGGAAAGTTTATAAGGTTTAATGTTTTGAAAATAACTGTTTTTATTTTTTTGCCCATCAGGTTGGTGCATCAGAGATGCTTAAGATAGGTATTATATGCTCAAATTTGTGTTCTCTTCCTTAAATCATGTGTTGCTGTGATTTGTTCATATGTAAATTTGTTTTTCTTTATTTTTGCAGAAGAGGATGAATTAAGATTAAACAAGTTAATCTCTGTCATGAGCAAGATGAAAAACATTAGTTAGTCACACAGAATGGGTTGCATCCCTAGGAGCAGGATCTATCAAACACACGCGTAGACCTTCGGTATGGAGTTTCAATACCTTGTGTTTATAGGTAAATATTCTTCATTGTGCCTCAACTGCTTAAATGTAACTTGAATTTTATTGGTTATTAAGTTTTATATTATGCATATGTATTAACTACTAAAATAAAGTTCATCCAAGACAGTAGACAATGTCTCTAACTGTAGAAAGCTAAAAAGAGTATCTAGCAATTGTGGGATCTTAAAAATTTTTCTTATATACAGATGAAACAGTACGTATTATAGTAATTTTGAATAATCCTAAAAAGAAGAATTTGTTTGGATTTTAAAAACGCCAGAAGGTTAACCACCCAGGATAAACCATTAACAGTGTGTCATCCAAGAACTGTCTGTCTTATTTCCATTTGGGGTCTTTCAAATCTTGTCCCCCCAAGGTGATGACCCACGACAAGTTGACTAACACACAGGACCTACTCACTGCCAGTGTAACATGGACAGCAGTGTAAGTCAATATGCCAATTGTTCCCACCTATCCAGGGGATCAAACCATGGACACGTCAATTTGTGAAGTGAATGAGTTGTCGAAATAAAAAGAATGCTAGATAACATCAACAGTAATTGCCATAATATGAATGGGTAAGTATTTTTGTGAAGGGATTCGGTGGGAAACCAGTTAGCCGACTTGAGTCCCGGGAATTGGGAAGTACAATGGCCTGCACTTTAACAGGAGTGGGTATTTTATGGGATAATTGGCAGTTTGGAGGTTGACTTTTTAAACTGTCACATCTAAGTGCCTATGCAAAGACAGTGATTATGCATGAGTGAGGGGAAAGTGGGTAGAATGAATAATAAGATTATTTTCATTTGGGGCATTATTCTTGTCTTTTTTGGGGCGTCACCCTGCCTCGGTGGGAGATGACCAACTTGTTGGAAAAAGAAAAAAAATTCTACACAGTATTATGATATGTATTGTAAAAGCAAGAACTGCTTGGAATTCTAGTTTATGGTTTGAAAATGTGGATCATCTGTTTACACTTTAACCCAGAAGAACGATTGGAGTAAAAAGTGATTTGCAACACATGCCTCTTATTCTCGAATATAAAATGGGGATCATGACTGAGGAGAACTCAGTTGAAGATGGAGAAACATAACCTGGAGGAATCCCAGTCAGCCATGGACCCTCTCAGCACAAACTCTCCTTAAGATGGACCCCATCTGTCTCCAAAGCATTAGAGATTTGGCTCCTAAATTGTTCTACGTCCTTAATTACCATAACTCGTATTATTAACTGGAGTCTTAGTTACAGGATGACAACCTACATAATTTTAACAAATTGTTAAAAGACTGCTCATAAGGATGATCACTTGCAGGAAGTTTATGCAACATCTTTTGTGGCCAGGAGGGCAACGACTGACTTTGATGGGGGAACCACTAATTGTAGCATTACGACTCGTGAATGAGAAGTCCATCAGGTGGTGATGTCTCAGAGCCTTTTCTGGTGAAAAGGCTTTGTGTGGAAATGTTTAGTTTAAAATTCGTTTTTTGTTTCATTTGAACTGGTGGTTATTTTTTAAAAAAGGATTACTCAAATTACTTTTTTATATTGATAATTGCATTTTCTTCAGTTGATGTTACTGTCTTCCATTGATGATTACTGGTTAACTGTCTTCGCGGTCAGTAAGCTTTCTTTCTTTTCTATCCAAAAAATGCTACATTTCCTATCTTCTGCCTACCCCCATACCACCCTCACTATTTTATTATTCTCTTTACCTATTTTTTAGTTTTAATCATTAATTGCTGTTTCAGAGTTAAGACATTAACTTCTGGAGAATAAATACACACCTCTAGTTTTTACCTAATAATTGAAGGAGTAACAGTTCTTTATGTGAAATTCTATTAAACAGTGTCACTCAGTTAACAGAAAAATGTCATATGAGTCCAGAGTGGTGGCCTTTTGACCTGGCTCCTCTTTATTAGATGTCCCTGTTTTAACTCTCCAGTTCATAGACTTTATATATGTAGTAATGACTGTGCCTTAAAATTGTGTTCAAACAATAATATTTTTAAGTTATGTTCAGTGTTGGGGCCACCATTGCAACATTGTCTAAAAAACTTTCAATATTCAGGATTATAACCCTAGAATGATATTCACATTAAATGCTAAAACCCATTAATTAGAGGGGAAGTCTGCCCAAAATGCCTCGGCATGAATGATAGTGGCTTCCTCTATGCACTGTACCGCCATTAAACTGATTGTAATTTCAATAATCTCGATGTAACCTTGCAAAGAAATAAACTTTGTTTTTAGGTTGAAATAATTCGAGACATAATGGGTAGAGTCTACTTAAACCCACTACCAGTTAACATTCATCTAAAAGGGTACCTGATTTTTATGTCAGTTGTTGCTGGTTGCCATCCTAGAGAATGGTCAAGCACTACATACCACTTTCCCTCTACACTCACCTGGCATAGCTGCGCTTCTTGCTAACAATGCCATATAGTATTTTTAATTTGTAACCTTCATACCAGCATAGTGTGAAAGTTTATTTAGGGTAGCAGGTACATGTAAATACAGATTTATCAGTACATTGTAAATGTAAGTACAAATTATCAATACCATTGTACATTTAGTACAATTATCATTGCATTTAAAGTAAGAGCCTTATGACTTGTCTTTTTCAATCACGACTATCCTTAACAAAAAAAGAGTATAATATAAAATGTGCAAAAACCTGTGAAAATACTTGAAGACTTTGGAGAGTCAAGACAGAACTGAAAGAGAGGCAGCACTCAATGAGAAAGTAAACAAAACTACTAGAAAGAAAATGAAGTGTGGATGCCCAGCCTAACCAGTCCAGCCAGTAGCTCAGGCAATGATAGTGAATCAGGAGCTGTATAAACAAATTTTTTTGGGTATAAATGAAATGTTAGTATTAGTGACACACTGTAAACGTGGGCACCCTCCTGAACTGGCAAGGATTAAGTTTGTTTGATTATGTAGAAAAGAATAATCCTCCCTTCTTTCAACGCGCTGGCCATGATCCCACCGAGGCATGTGGCCACAAAATGAAAAACAAAAGGTTCTCTTTTTTTAAATTATAGTAAAATAAACATTAAATATTGATATATACCTTTGCAAAAACAGTGATTGTGTGAGTGAGGAGAAAGTGTTGAAAGATATGGGAAGTATTTTCTTTTGGGGATTTTCCTTTCTTTTTTGGGTCACCCTGCCTTTGGTGTGGGAGACGACAACTTGTTGAAAAAAACAAAAAAATACAGTAAGAAGGGGCATTGATCAAACCTCTTCAACGCGCATAACTTATGGAGAAGAAATCTGTTCCACTTCCCCATGGAGAATATACTGTAAATCTATTATACTGTAATAATTTTCAAGCAAAGTTGTTTTAGTCCCCCAACAAAAGCTTGTTCCCCAGGTCCTTTTCACTGTTTGCTGGCAGTACAATCATTTGGATTTATTGTAGTGATGGTAGGTATTAATATTTGTCAGTCATCTCCCATCAGTGGACACGTTTTATTTTTTTGTCTTGCATATAGACTTTTGTAGGTGTAAAACTATTTTTTTTTAGCCAAGACTTAAAACAACCTTTGTATAGTACATTAATTTCATATTGAACCCTTATTTTTTTTATCACACTTATAAAAGTTAATTCTTCACCATGTGCATGAAGTCACCCCTCCACATTTACTTAGCCAAACAATACTGTCTTCCTTAACCATGTTGAACCTCGAACACATCATAAAACACACGAAAACATCATAAAATATTGTTATACTTACAACATTCATGATTAGGGTTGCTGAGCATTCCAATGTTCGCCTGCATCCAGCTAAAAAGAACACGCGAAAGTGGATTCAGAACTGAACCAAGAACAGTTATATAATGACCAAAGATATAATGCAAAAATGATATTTTGCAAACCTTGCATTATGAGGCAAAAGTGGCAGATGCAGTACAGTGTAGATAAATGCACGTGTATCTGAAGCTCGGAGTGTTCCCATAACCCTAGCACTATAAGTAAAACGATGTAAAACTAATAGCCATACAGATTGCGAAAAGGACTTGGGGTTATGGTGAGCAGCAACTTAAACCAAGACAAAGCAATGTCCAAAGCGTCGTAACAAAGGCAAATAGCTTACTGGGATTTATAACAAGAAGTGTAAGCAACAGAAGTCCAGAGGATCATAACTGCAAGCTTTATACATCATTAGTAAGGCCTACACCCAATTAATGCAGCACACTTCTGGTCTCCAAATTACATAATGGACATAAATACGTTAGAAAACATTCAGCGAGGATGACCAAATTAAAGCATAGCCTTAGAAATCTTCCTTATGAAGAAAGATTTTGAAGACTCTAAATACATTCACTTGTTAGACGAGTAATGAGGGGAGACCTGATCGAATTGTATAAGTGAAAGATAGGTATTAATAAAGGGGATATTAATAAGGATCTTGAGGAAAACACTTCCAAGAGAGAACCCGCAGTAATGGGATTAAAATAGATAAGTTTATGATTTAGAAAGGACATAGGAAAGTCATTGGTATTGAAATAGGGTAGTTTGATGATGGAACAGTCTACCTAGTTGGGTTATTTGAGGCTAGGACTTTGGGTATTTTTTTTTTCAAATTAGGTAGGAGATCAGTACATGATGAGGGTTATGGATTTGAAATGGACTTTGCACATCAGAGCTCACATTCTTTTTTTTTTTTTATCGTCTTCCCATCCTGCGTTCCAGGAATACAGGTTTAGGAACCTCAAGCGCTCCCAATAATAGAGGATGTTTTTATTCTCCGTTTATGCCGCCGCCGTGAAAGTTCTCTGTAAACATTTTCAAGGTCGGCAATTTCACCTGCCTTGAAAGGTGCTGTTAGTGTGCAGCAATATTCCAGCCTAGATAGAACAAGTGACCTGAAAGTGTCCTCATGGCTTGGCCCTCCCCTAGTTTGAAGGTTT